GGTGGGTATAGGGACTTTTTCCCCATAAAACTTTTGGTATGCTAGACATACAGTGGTTATGCCCTCTTTGTGTGGTATGTTGGTGTAGAGACTAGTAACGTCCATAGAGACTAGGCAATTTTGTACTCTCAATAAAATTCATAAAGTGTCTCGTATCTTTTGGTTCCCTGCGCAATTGGCTGAATGAGTCGATCTACAAATGCAGATATCCGCTCCGTGGCTCCCTCAGACCTTGTTTATAGCTCTACCCACAGGTGTTGGTTTGTAAGTGTGTAGAAAATAGGGATACGCAGAGGATTAGGTGTAAGGGATAGCCATTTGGCTGTCATATCGTCAATATGGCCCTCCTGCAGCAGCAACTTAATTAGCTGCTTAACTTTTCTGGTTGATTTTTCAATAAGCTGAGTGAGGGGTTGATAATTTTTTTTTGTTTTTCTCATTTGGCAAAGCTAAACCCTGGTTTATTTTACTTTCTCTGCTCATTATGACAGATGTTGTTCCCTTGTCTGTCTCTTTGAGTGTAATGTCTGTGTCACGCGACAATTAATTGTTTGAGTGCTTGTTGCTCTCCAGGTGTGAGGTTAGGGTTTGGTTTCTTAAATGGATTCTCTGCGAACTCTAATTTCACTTCCTCTAGAAAGGTTTCTAAAGCCACGGAAGGAAGGCTGGACTGGTGGATTCCAGTGTGATTTCATGTGAAATGGATGTGGCTCTCTTTCTTTACCGCAATATATGTACTGGAGGCGCATTCGTCTCGCAAAGAGATCAAAATTTTTTCAAAGTTCACGCCTAATGTTGTTTTCTGTTGTTAGAGGTGTAGACAAGGGTGAGTAGGGTAAAATCAAAATTGACCTGTAACATAACACTGAAATCAATTGCTGTTGCTTTGAGTATCTGCTTCCAAAACTTTGATGTGACATCCTTTGTCACTCCGATGCCAACTCCCTCCTCCATTTTGCTGCTCTGGTCAATGTCTTTAATTTCATTTTGCTCTATTAAGGTCAAACATAGTGACCTTGTAAACCTGAAAATTCCTAAACAAATACCATACAGATACAACGAGAATATATACAAAGAGATCAAATGTAGTATGTACAGCAACAACTTTTGCCAATGTTTCATCTGGAGGCCGAAAGAACGAAAAATGACTGAGAGATGGATTCCCAAGGGAGTGGGAAAGGGGTCTCAAATATTATAATTACAAGTTTTAGTGTAGGAGTTTCGGGATTTGGAAATTCCCTCAAATCCTCCTTTACCAGAGTGCATATTGTTGATTTGAGACACTGGGTAAACGTAAATGGGGATGGCCTCTCCCCTGGATTGACTGCCCCTGACTTTGTTTCCAAACTGTTGAAGAAAACAGAGTTGAAGGTTAAACGTTTGACACCAAGGACGAAAAAAAAAAAACAGGTAAACATTGACATGGCAAAGTAATTCACAAAAACACACACCCAAGACAGATGGCCTCATGACCACTCTGCTGTATAAAGGGGTCGACAGTTTAACTTTTGAGGTGGGTAGTGGGTGGTTTCAGTAAAAATATCCTGCAGACTGATTTTCATGGAAACTTTTTGAGGAGGGACCTTCGACATGTGAAAAAGCGGGTAGTGGCAGACATGTCAAGTGAATAATGCCTTCTTAAAGTTGTCTTTGGAAACATTTTGACAGATCAAGAAATCGTGAAAATGCCAACAAAAATACTAGTAGAAAACTACAGGTAATAAAGAATTAAGACCAGATTAAAGATAAGAACAGTTCAAGCTACCTCAAATGCTTGGCTTATCGAGGATTTCAAAGCTGTTGGCATCTATTGTTACCGGGTTGTCTTCCAAATTAGGGTATTCTTTGGAAAGTTTGTGAGGGCTCAAGTGGGTCTTGTTTTCTTTGGTTTGGATAAGAGAGAGATCTATAACCTTTTTCAGGAATTTCATGTTTTCACACTGGCCAAGTTTCTAAAAGTCATAATAGCTAAGCAGGTGTATCAAAAAATGCTCTTGAAATGTCATGCCTTTGCTTGTCATGCAATTCTTTTACGTCATGTACAAACTTTAGAAAGTCATCCTTCTCTTCATTCTCCTATTTCTTCACTTAAGAAACGTGAAAAAATAGGTTACTATACCATGGCACGATGGGAATAGAGGGCCTTAAATATGGCTGTAGAATATACCGTTTTGTTTTCGGAAATGCTTCATTGTTCCCGCTTTCACTTTTCTTCCTCTCCCTCCCCCTTCCCTTCTTGCGCCTGCTTTGCAGGTTATTTGCAGGATGATGGGCTTAGGTTCTATAATAGGCAAGTATTTCTTTAAAGCAACATATTATGGTATCCCTAAAGTAGAATAGCAAGTGATCCACTTAAAAACAATTGTTATTGAAGGGTTTACTTACATTCTTTTTCGCTTACTTTTTCCCAAGCAGGCAACTCATAAAGACAATCCCTGATGTCAGGTTTAACAGAACAAAGACAATCTCTTCCTCAATAACATTTTTCAGTTGAGATCTAAATAACCAAATTCGACAGGTATTTATGAAAAAGGTTTCTGTCTACATATTAGATTATTCTATTGGGCAACTTGAGTGTTTTCGAAACAGCAAGAGTTTCACTATTACACTTGCCCTGACAATATGATGAGACAGCCTTAGGGTTCCCCTGTTTTAGTGACAACTTTCAGACGTTTGACTTGTTTTATAAAAATCAATTCCACAAGTAGCTTAAAATGAAAACATTATCAAAGGGGAGTCTATAGAGATCTATTGTTAAGTAGATATCATAATAGATATCATAATATTCATAATATAGCACGAACATGCACTTAATTGTCCAATTAGTAGTCCATGTTTTGCTGTAAGGAGCACAAATTAAATCTAAAACACCTTCTAAATAAACATTGTCGTTAAATGTTGATTTGGTATGTTTTTTTTTTCATTGACAGAAAGCAATTTGTTTAAGCCTGTTTTTCTGTTATGTATTTGGACACAAGACTACTGCCAAAGGCGTGTGAATTGAAATCTGTTGCAAACCTCTTGCTAACGTTGGTTTCCAAGTTTTGTGCTATAAAAATTTTAAGAGCATTGTTTTTTCTTCTTGAATCTGTTGTCTCCATGGGTATGACAGGTCGAAACACAATGAATTAGTAAAAAATTGCATTTGTGATAATTCTTTATAAAAGTTGGCAATGTGGTATGTAACAACTTCAGTTAATCAGGTAACGTGTGAACATAGTCATCAAAATCTTCAAAAACCCTTTCCAGTGCATCCGGGTGGTCTCTTGTAATATGTCAAAACTGTGTTTCCGTAAGATGATGTCCTCGGATGTTTAATCAATCACACCTCTTAGGCAAAGAGCTTTCCTGTTTCCTGCAACATTTAAAATCTTCAAGTGGCCATGTGTCTTGAAGTGGGGGTTCATGTAGGCTTCCACTGCAATTTCCGGACAATCCTGGAGGAGAAAATACTTTGAAAACTGGACACTTAACTGGGATCTGTTTAAACAATGGGTCTGTTATTTATAGTGGCTCAATTCTAGACATTGCAGATTCTCAATATTTAACACCGTAGTAAAATCTGGGATAATCAATTTTTTCTGGCAACCAATCCATGGAGCAATTAATTTTTTGAATTGTCTTGCAGCGCCATAACACAGCACAAATGTCCCTCCAGGGGAGAAATAGGCCATCATCCCATTTTGAATCACTATTTTTTGCCTCATGGGGGATGCAATGTTTCCTGAACAATTTATATTTTAGGTGTAGTGCGCTTATTTTGCCTCTGTGTGTCTTAAGAATGAGTTATATTACTCGAGCTTACATGGCCTCTGGGAACATGATTGCTTGGGGCCATCCCACAAGGAAGGCAGTAGGTACACTGACTCTAATAAATAATTGACGCCGCCCTTATCACCAGTCCGGGTTCTGTGCTATTCTGGTGTGGTAATATGGCTGCCAGAAACTAATAGAAACATCTGTTGTTAAGTTTTGCTATAACAAGCGAATACTTATCCCTTGAGGGCTCATAAACATTAAACAATATCAAAATGTAAGAATACTTTTTAGCCTTTCTGGGCCGCCATTAGTGTCACAATATGCAAAAGTTAAGAAATTCAAACGTTCTCTTTTACTAGAGAAAGAGCCCTATTGAACTGAAAACATTGGACAAGAGAAAGCACGATATATACTATTTTGTATTGCAGATCTGTTCATCTTGACACTTTTATTTACATTTATTTAAACAATCATGAGGTGTTCTGAGGCAAAAAAACAATCAGTGAACTTAAAATTTTTAACATAGCCAATGCAAACAGAGATCAATGACATAAGTGCTAAATCGCAAAAAGTATAACTGATTTAGGGGTGCTATTATCCTATTTAGCACTACAGATTTCTTCGAGTGTTACTTAGAGTGATTGAAGTCTCCGATTGTGGGATTCTTCTGATTTTTGCAATTCTGCTATTCTATGGCTGAGTCAGTGTGCTATTCTATGATTCTAACAAAAAGTCGTTATGGTAAAAACAAGTCTCCGACTGTATGATAAAGTTTTATGTTATGTTATGTTATGATTCTTCTGATTTTTCGTATTCTACTATGAGGTGTTTAAAGAACAAGAAATAGTCAGTTATAGTTGCAACTCCTATTTTGCTATTCTCTGAATGAGCATTTATAAACGACTTATACCATCGGAAAATCGTAAAATCATAAAATGATTTTTGAGAATCGAGATGAAAACTCTTTATAATAAAAACGAGTCTCTGATTGTACAATTCTTCTGATTTCAAGTTCCAATTCTACTATTCTCGGATTCTTACAACTTCTATTTTACTACTTTACGATTTAGTGCAAACATGTTCTTTAAAATTAAAGTTAGATAAAATAAAATTAAATATTTCAAAAAGTTATTATTTATATGTGAAAATAAGATATCATGAACTGTTCTAAAGGAAAGAACAAACAATGAACCTTAATTTTTAAACCACAGTCAGTGCATAGACGTTCTTCAAAATGAAAACTAGATAAAATATAATTTAATGTTAAAGATCTGATACAGAGTATAAAGTTGTTCTGTCTGTGTTCTGGTAAATGGGCAGACAACGTTTGAGAGGAAGAGGAGGTGGAGTTGATGCTGGTGTTGCTGATGGTTGTGGCGAAGACGGTGGCGTTGACGATGATGATGGAATAGGTGACCGTGGTGCTGTGTGGGGAGTAAAACTGAGACTTGCATCATTTGATGTAAATGGTTGACTGCGTGGAAATAATAGACGGCGGACATAAAGTAAAATTAAGGGCGGAAAACAGCTAAACATAAAAGGTAATGAGACTGCAAGGATGAGATGGTGTGTTGAAGATGGTGATGAGTTGAAGGACGGAGAAAATGTTGATGACGACGACACAAGGATAGACAGGAGAAGATGATGTTGATGACAAGGGTGGAGAAATACAAACTTGAGGAGATGGCTGTTTTGTGCAGTTCAGTGTGGATAGCCATGCTATATTCTTCGTGCAAAAATGGTAAATACAGGATGATTTTACGGCGAGGCAAAGGTGGCAGCATGGTTGAACTTAGCAATGCGGAGAAACACAAAAAGGTAAAAATGTAGAGCAAACTAAAATCCTGGTATATGGCGAGCAGCTTGAACTAAAAAGTGGCTTGAAGTGTCAGTTATGATGCTGTTGTGGACTTGTCCCTTGGGGCTCAGTGCGGTTGAATTGTAAAAAGTACACTGACCTTTGACAAGGTCAGTGACTTTAAAACATTTCTGCATCTCTGCTGGTCGCAAGGCCACGAGAAATAACATGGAAATAATAAACAAGGTGGACTCCATTGTGCACTGTTGTAGGAATACCTGTGTAAAACAGGTAGCAACTGGCAACGAAATGACGTGGACCCAGTCTTCACAATAGCTACAAAATAACGGTTTACTGTTCTGACTCTGTTACTTTCATTATGCTTCCTGTGATTTTTCTCACATATGTCAATGTCATATTAAGGTTGAAAAGCGTTTTTTAACTTTTTTTTTTTACAATAACATACTGCGCGGTGTGGGGAAAAATGAAGAAGTTTCCATATGATCGCTACGATCTGTGAAAAAAGCCTGGCGAGTAGGAGTCGACTCATGTAAGTCTGCCTTCTCAGATTGCCATGTCAGTCATTTAAAAATAAGGAATAGGTTTTAGTGGTTTTTCATATCTGGTGGAACAATTTGTGACGTCCGGCTAAAACACCCTTGTCTCATAAACAGAGGCGGTATTTTCAAAATCACGCAGGGATTGTAGTGAAAGGAAGCCTCGGGAGGGAACTCAACATCAAGTTGTGTTTGCAAGCTAAATCTGCACAGCTACCCACGATTCATACTATGCTAAACATATTGCAAGTGCAATTATAAGCTTGCTCTTTCTTTTCGTCCAAGGAAACATTAACTTACGATCAGGCATTCTTTTTCTGTTTATGGGAGAGGGGAGGGGAAGAACGCGGAGTGGTCTACTTGTAGTCCAGAATCTGGACTTTTGTCTGATTGTTCATAAAACAAAAGAGTCTTTGAGCGTCGTTCCGATAGAGGAGATAAAATAGGTGTTGACAGGCCAAGCACAGTGACCTATGCAATCGAACTTTGTTTGCTAATGGTGACAGCTGTAAGTTTCGCCTCCCTGTCCAGTAGCTCAATCAGATAATATAATGGTAGTCCTCATTGCCCACCAGATCTTTGATTAGGGGCTAATTCCAACCTTCAATGTCATTATTGGTACGAATTAGTTACTTAAAGGTGTTCCAGTCCTTTGGTGTAAACACGGGGTTCTCGATCCACTGGTATTTTATGTAGTCGTCGAGATCTTGGAGGGGGTGTTTTTTTGGTCCTGTACACTTTGTCAAACCAACATCGGAGTGATCTCATGAAAGGCAGGAAAGGAAGGGCCATCATCATCTTGATGTATCAGACAACATTGTAACCTCTGGAAAAAGCCGATCGAAGTCAGAGCTCTTGTACCCATTAGAAAGAAAATAATAAAAACATAGCTTATTAATTTAGACATTGTTGTATGCTGGTGAGACGATGAACTGTCAATACATCGACCTTTTTCAATATTTTATAATGTCAAAAGCCAATATCTTTTAAAATAATCACTCTCATAATCAGCCTTGCATAGTAATACTTTAGTTAAAATAGCATGGACATTTTTTCTTGATCTGGTTTACTGTGCATACGAACAGAGGTGCACTGAGTTACAAATAACTGCTGGTCACCATACAAAGCCAAAATGTTAAATTTTTCTGGCTCCTCACGACTCCATTGTCAAGTGAGATGTGAATGTGACAGTTGAGCAAATTCAAGAGATGCAAAGGAGTAATTTACATACTGGTTAAGTTAACACACACTTTGGCTTGCAGGGAATCGAATTGCACATTTAGTGAAGGTGTGAAGTAGCCTGCAGGGAATTGAATTGCACATTTAGTGAAGGTGTGAAGTTCTTAATTAAAAGTATGTCTTTGACAAAGTAATCAAATTTTTCTACTGGATTTAGCCAGGACGTTTAACTGCTGAATAAGCTGCTCAGGTTTTTACCACTGTGTTCGTGAGTGTAGTGTTTACCAACGGAAGATGTTTTCTCTTTGTTTCCTTCTACATGCTCCTGTCAATGTCCACAGGCATAGCTTTAAACATCATAAACTTCGATATACCCATCATTTGTTGGTAAGAGAACTTTGCTTGTATTATTACAGACGAAGTTGGACTCCACTTATTCCTAATCACAATAAAAAACAAAAACAAATTCTATTGGCAAGAACAGCCAGGGAAGTACCCCAGTCCCCATCCAGTGTATTGCTGGTGAAACTTTCTTGTTACCTGCAAACATTCTCAGAAAGTTTCTTTACAACCGACAGCTGCATTTCAATATTGTCTATAGAACAATAGTCCATTTTGATTGCAAGGAATCCCTATCGACAGAAAAAAAAACATTAGTTTGATCCACACATCTATACTACGTTTTCGCTGTATAGCCCTAACAGTAATGGAGTTCCCTTGGAAATACACCCCTTTTACAGACTCCTCATCATGGCAGAGAAAACTTGTGATGTGTGCTCCTTTCCATTGCAGGTATAACATCCTGCTAAGAAATGCAGATTATGACAAATTAAGGGTTGTAGACATTGTATATGATTGAATGTAAAAGCCTTATAACAGCTTCTGATCTTTCTTAGTCTTGTCACTTGCAAGAATAAAGCAATGTCTGCCTCCTTCCCTTAACAAACATTCCACCAACCACAGCGATTTCCTTTGCTATTCTTGAGCAGTCGAGAGTCATTCTCAGTTTTGTTTTCGCAAGCGAAGCTAGGCGAGTGGGTGGTATTGTAATCTGCCTTACATGTCACCAACTCCATGTCTGCGATTCACTCACTGAGGGCCATTTGCCATGAAATGAGTGGCTGTCACCTTTAGTTCAAATTGCTCAAAATTTCTTTACTGCGGGCCTTCATTCCCGCAACCTGCCTGGGTGTGAAACTAGATAATAGACGTTCATGGTCTGATCCTGTTTCTTATATAAGAAAGTGTTTTTCACAAAAGATTGGTGCACTGAAACGAATGAATTACCTTCCTGTGAAGACTTTGCAAGAGATTTATTTGAAGACAATAATTCGAAATGTTACTTATTGCACCTCAATCTGGGGAAACTGCGCCACAGATATTCTTTGAAACCTTGACTTCGTTCATTCGAGAGCAGTGATAATTATTTTTAATCTTTACCTGTCCTTATCTGATGCTAAATGCCTCTCAAAATGTAACTGGCCTTCCATTTCCTATTTTTACAAGAAATCTGTCCTTATATTTAAGCACAAAGTTTATTTTGACTCTTTATTCGAAACTAAACTCTTTGTAGGCTTTGTTCCTACATTAATTGCATATCTTGTTGCACAAACAAGTTGCTTGAAAAGACTACCTAAATGCAACCTGAGTATTTTCTCCTGCCCCCCATTAAGGCCATACTTTTTCATAGCCCTCTGTAATCCAAAGTACCGGAAATGTCAACACTACAATACAGTAAACACCCGTATAGAAGAACCTATCCTATTTAAAGTCTGGGAAAATAGGTTCTTGTATTTTGGTTACTTATTGGCAATTTAGGCTAAGTACGTTCTTAATAAGGTTCTTTATTTGGATAAAGGAGATAACTGATTGTTGATTACTCCAAAAATAGTAAACTTGGGTTTGGTCTGTAAATATACTGAGTTTTGTTCGAGTGATTCTATTGTTTTTCCTGTAGCAAATGTGATATGTAAGAAGAGGCTATGTCATTTTTTCTAGCTTAGAAGTAACTTAGTCTGGAAAGTCACTCATTCAATGCTGGTACCACATTTGAGAGACACAAACCTTTATCAATTTTTTGGGGGATCGTATTAAAAGAAAAAATAATGAGATTTTGAGCAAAAATGCTAGAGTACAGTGGCGTGGGCTCAGCCGCGGAAACAAGGTGAGATGTGTTGTATAAAAAGAAAGCAATGACACTTTTTTCTACTTAAATAACTCTGTTACAGCTGCCGGCTTACAGTGAGCTTAGAACATGTAGAAGTAACTTACACTGGAAAGGTCGCGCGCATTGCTTGCATCAAGTTATAAAGTCACAAACCTTTGTCAATTTTTTTGGGCCGATCTTGTTAAAATGAAATATAATAAGATCTTAGGACAAAAGTGTTTTGAGGACAGACACGTGTGTTTAGCCTTTACGTGGTATGTATTTTATTTAAAGTTTCCTTCTCTAAAGACCTGTACCCGATAAACATTACAGCTGTCTTCAGAAGGTGTTATAGTTACGAAAGGTAATTCTTACAACAATATTGTCCTGTGTGGATGCCTGTCATCATCGGGCAGCAAAATCTTAGTCACTGCATGGCGGCCTAGTTGGATGGCATCTAACCAGATGTTTAAAAAACTGTCTACGCCTTTGTATGGTCGCCCGCAGTAAGGACATGTCGAGAGCTGTCTGGTTTGACTCCTCCCATGAACTATTTTGAGATGCGTCGCTAAAGAAAATACTTTGATGTTACATAGGAAACAAGCTATTTGCCTGGTCTTGCAGTACATGACAATTTGGGACTAGGCAAGACACAAAACCGACAAACAAACTGGGACTTAATACTGGTGAAGTTTTCACAGTGCTATTTCCAGTCAAAGTTTACAGCGGTTCATTAGGATATGGAGAGTATGTGCATATATAAACCACGATTAAGCATTTTTTTTCGCGTAATCCATTCTCCCATTCTCCTCGCAGTGTAATTTACAATGTATTTTTAGTTTGACTTTATGGTTACAGTAAACACCCTCATTTAAGAACCAAGTGGAAATAATAGATGGCGGACATAAAGTAAAATTAAAGGCAGAAAAACAGCTAAACATAATAAAGGCAATGAGACTGCAAAAAAATGCTGATAACGACGACACAAGGATAGACAGGAGAAGACGATGTTGATGACAAGGACGGAGATAGCAGTCTTGTGCAGTTCAGTGTGGATGGCCATGCTATATTGCTTGTGTGAAAAAGGTGAATACAGGATGATTT